AAAAATGGAATCTTGCAGAAAAGTCCCGAAATCTGTGAAAGTAATAATTCACTTTCCCATTATTCGTAAGGCTGGAATGTACATGTACACTCTTTCTCACACACACACACATATATACATGAATATGTATATATATATATATATATATATATATATATATATATATATATATATATATATATATATATATATATATATATATTTATTTATTTATTTATATTATATATGCATACATATATTTATATTGTATATGCATATATGTATGTATGTATGTGTATATATCTTTTTATGTATATATATATATGTACGTACATATATACATATATATATACACACATATATATATATATATATGTATATATATATATATATATATATATATATATATATATATATATATATATATATATATATGTATATATATATATATATATATATATATATATATATATATATATATATATGTATATATAATAATTTTTGTGTATATACATATACATATTCATTTTATATACTATATATATATATGTGTGTGTGTGTGTGTGTGTGTGTGTAGATATGTGTGTATAAAATCCGCGCGTGCACACACGTGTGTGCATTCATTCACACACATCGCCCGAGCGCGCACATTAGCACACGCACGGATTTGCGTATATTGGGGAAGTGTAACATAGATACGGTAGTGGGCGAGTCCATCGTAGGTACGATAATGGGTTGGGAGCCACCAACAAGGATTACCTAACCAACTACTCCTCTGGAGAAGGATCATGGGACAGCCCCGGTATAAAGTCCCTGCCAACTACATGATATCAGGTCGAAACAATAAAAATAAGCAAAACGGCGTAAACGAGGCATCACAAGGTTGTCTTGCAGGATTTGCGCCGGTAGCTACATTCAACAACGAATGCGGACACATAGATCATATAAGCCAAAAAGTTCAAATCAAAAGGTCGGAACATGGAACATCTCCACGAGATGGACAGAATGTATGTACAGTCAGATGGCCCAATGCTGGCGACTTTATGAAGGACCAGAAGAGTCCTCTTTTCATTAGGTCATGAAGACAAACATGGATTTATTCTGGTCCTAGACAAACTTTTCTCTTCTTCAAAATCTGTTCTCTCGCTCTGGCCCTGACTCTTGATGAATTATTTACATCAGCAGAAACTAAATCGACTATGTTATGATCAGTTCAAGATACCGTAACGCATTCAAAAACCCCCGAGCATATCCGGGTGCAGACGTAAATTCAAACCACAACCCAGTAATAATGAACTTTAGAATGTCCCTAAAAAAGATGAAGAAAGCGAAAATTGCCCCCTAATTTGAACTCAGTGCACTGCAGACCAACCAAGAGGTGCGAGAAAACTTTACACAAGAGTTTTTTTGGAATCTACCAAAGGTTCCTAACAATGACATTGACCAATGTATTGGTGCCTTTATTAATAGTCAAGTAACAGCTGCTAAGATAATCCCGACAGAAGAAAAGAATCCCTCACCAAAATGATTCCACCTAGAGTTCAAAGGCCTGCTTCTAAATTGGCAAGTCTCAAACCAGAGTCCTGTGCAATATGAACAATCTGTACAAAGAGGAGTGTAAGAAAGCCAAGGAGAAGTGGCTGCAGGAGAAATGTAATAAAGTAGAGAATCTCAGTTGCAAACCCAGAGGAAATGAGAAATCACTGGTCAGTGATCCTTTTCCTCCTCAAATTGCACCAAAGCAGCAGACGGCCGCATTCTCCACGAGGCCGAGGATGTCAGTACTTCGTTGGGGAGAGTAAGTACAAGAATTTGACGATGAGTAAGAGCCTGATTTAGTCTTGAAAGCTGTTACATCTGGTCCACCAATTCTGAAGTCAGAAGTGCATAAACTCCGAAGTGCTCAGGGCCTTATGAGAAAAAGGTATTGATCTCATCTGGAACTTCCTAAATGATATCTATGAAACAGGCAAATTACTTAAAGAAATCAGTATTCATTGCCCTACTGAAGGTCCAAGGAACACTTGAGTGCTCACAACATCGCACAATTTATCTATTATCGTATACTCTTAAAACTCTGCTGAAAATAATAACCCGAAATTCCAGAGACCCAGTTTGGATAAAGGATAAAGGTACGAGGAACGCTATCTTCGTCATGAGAATGCATGCCGAGATTTCCATCCAACACCAGCAAAACATCTACCTGGTTTTCCTTGACTATCAGAAAGTTTTTGATAAGGTCGGGATTTAGAACTGTTCAAAATCTTCGCAAACATCCGGATAGATGACATAGATGACTAATTCAGTCTACCAAGATCAACTTCCTGCAGTCCGCCTATCCGATGGAACAACTAACTGGTTCCCATCAAGCAAGGTGTCCGACAAGGTTGTATGATGCCACCTGTCCTCATCAATTTATACTTTGAAGTTATCCCGTGGGAGTTTGAAGATCTCCAGGAGGGAATCGTTATCAATGATTACAAGATCTAAAATCTTCGTTATGCAAATGATTCAGTTCTCA